AAGACCTTGTACTCACACAAACACTACAGCAGCAGAGGACTTAAACAAACCGATAAATCTATGAAACATGACGAATTTAAGTACGTCAGGCTTCAGAAATTCGTCGCTATAATTGGATCACTGGAACTTACTACATTTCAAAAAAGATTTGAAATAATTAAGGATTACCCACTATGCTGGAGATGTTACCTACTCTGTAGCCGGATTTATGGATAAGAACAAGGACACGCTGTTCCAGGATTTAAAGCGTTTGATGTACAATAGGTTAGTAAGAACTTGATTAAGAAGCAGCGTGCTTTAACCTAAGATTATTAGACACGAGGTTGGCAAAATTTTGGTAGGCATGTGAATAGGAACTTTTGGAAATCTTGGAACTGATGATAATTTCAGAAAAGTTCTATTCACAAACAACATTTTTCTTAAATCATATCTTAGAAAAATTAGCTTTACTGCAAAGAAAATGTTTTGATTGAAGATACGTATAAGAAAATTCCGCTCTTTAATTTTATTGGGCTCCAAGAAAAACTGTGTAGGAGAAATTGGTAGTTAAGCAGGTCTGGAGGGCAAAATGCAGAATCTATTTTGTAACATTCCATTAGTAACGAAGAAAACTACAGAAAAGAAAATGCGCCGCTTCGAATTTAGTTTTCTTATTCCTTTTCTAATGAAATTTCTGAAGCTATTTGGGCATTATAAGGAAGCTATATTTAAAATTCAGTATTAATCGACCTCAGTGAAATGACGCAGCAGAAACTTTTTGAATTTTTTTTCTAATTGGATGGCGAAATTGAATATTATTTTCCCCAGCCTAATAAGACTCTCTACTCTATATTAATTACCAGAAGCAAATTTATGGGGTTGTCTGTCTTTTTCTTCATTGAGCACTACTAATTCGATGAGGTTTCTTCAAATTAGTTCTAGGGTAGCTTGTGATACTTACCAGGGGCTAATAGGGGAGATGACAAAAATTATTTTATCTTGCGTTCCTTCCTCTTCTCGCTTTTCTCTCCACTACTGCTTTGTGTTGATTCATACGAACTACTGAAAAACTGAAAAACAAAAATCATTAGCTACACTCTACTTCAGATCTTATGTAGAAATGCAACTATTGTATTTGCAAAAAGAGCTGAAAGCTTCATGACCGATCTTGCAAATTCCAGTCAGAGCCCATTGCTACAAGCTATCTTCCCAGATGGTGCCAAGAAGGTGACGGAAGTGAATCGACGACCACCTACAGCTGGTTTCCTATTCAAGGTGGGTTCGATACTATGATATTTCGATTTATGGATAGTCTATCGTAATCGCAAGTATACAAAAATTTGTGGGAAATGATTGTCATAGAATATTTGAAACAACGCGTACTATTTTTGTGATTATCGTAGTTCATGCTCACTATGTATCACTTATGTATAGATGTTGCATATGCTAATTGCTTAGGTAGCTCAGATTACTTAGTCACTTTCGACCTAAATCTTTATCCCATTTATATTTTTAGAACTCTATGTCTGGACTTGTGGCTCAGCTGGCTAGCAAACAACCGTATTATATTCGATGCATAAAGCCAAATGAAGAGAAAAGCAGCAGCATGTTTGATTTGGAAAGGGTCGAACATC